TTCATGTGTTCTGTCCATACCTCAAATGATTGACGAGCCCTGACAACTCCTAATGATTGACATGTTTGGTACATGGCATTCTATAATACCATACTCTCTGTGATCTGTCCAAATAACCAGGTATTTACATCTAGAAATCTGTGTGACCAGTAATGGATTATAGTTGAAATAAATATTCCAATTCATATAATAACGAATATCATTTCTTTAGTGTAAGAAGTCTCATAGTCGTTTAACATCAGGAACATGTGTTATAAATCACTGTCAAATAGGGATGATACCAGCTGCTCGCGAAGTCATGGTACTTGTCCCATCGGTAAACACGTGGTATACTTGTCCCATCGGTAAACACATGGTATACTTGTCCCATCGGTAAACACATGGTATACTTGTCCCATCGGTAAACACGTGGTATACTTGTCCCATCGGTAAACACATGGTATACTTGTCCCATCGGTAAACACATGGTATACTTGTCCCATCGGTAAACACGTGGTATACTTGTCCCATCGGTAAACACATGGTATACTTGTCCCATCGGTAAACACATGGTATACTTGTCCCATCGGTAAACACGTGGTATACTTGTCCCATCGGTAAACACGTGGTATACTTGTCCCATCGGTAAACACGTGGTATACTTGTCCCATCGGTAAACACGTGGTATACTTGTCCCATCGGTAAACACATGGTATACTTGTCCCATCGGTAAACACGTGCACAGGTGAATCAGTCGTCCATCTGACAGACTGGGAAGATCTGGAACAAGACATTTATACAGACTTGCTAAAATTCAACTTTACACCCGTCAAATATTCCTGTTTTTAGAGGAATATCAGCTTACGCCTCACTGAATGTTTAGATGTAATTATAGCAACAGAACTATCTGAAAAATCATTTACGTTCCGAACGTTCGCATGGTGCCTCGAATATCATGCTTACGTTTGAATTTGTTCCAGAAATAAATACTGAATAGTGACAAAGAACGCTCCTGTTTTGGCCCACATTTATTCGTGGATGGGTGTGCGGAGCTACAGACCCGTGCAGGTTATATTCGGACACTTACGTAATGTCCATAGACCTACATGTTATTTCAGTGTAGCATAAATGATTTTCATGAAGTGAGTATAGGATGGATCAATGTAAAATTTGACAGGCAAATCATCATCATCTCTGCTCTGCGCACATAATTTCAGTTCAATTCTCCGACCAATATGTAACTAATGATATCACATTTATCAACTTACGTATGGTTCCACAATGCACAATTCCATAGGCCGCCATGTGAAAGGAGTTCACGACACTGTACATATGTTGATTAAATTGTTTCCATTCGATAAATAAGCAACGGAAAATTAAAAAGAACTTATGTGATTGTAGGTAAGACGATTCTCCACATGTGTGCAAAATTTGACTTGGATCTTACGAAAATGAAATTCATGAAAATTATTTATGCTACACTAAATTAACATGTAAGTCTATGGAAATTACGTCAAGTGTCCGAATATAACTGGCACGGGTCCGTACATGTATCTATAAAACACAGTTTAGGTGATCTGGAAAACATAAAGAACATTCAGTCAGATGTCAATGTTCAGTTAATATTCAAATATAATGTAGCAGCCATACAATATTAGTAGGACGCCTTGTCCACATGACCACAGAGGTTAACCTCAGTCAGCACGCTGACAAAGTAAGGATGTCATCTATTGGTCCATATGGGATGACTCTACGATCTGCTACAATAAAACAAAGGCTTCTTTAGCACATTCTTCCATTAAAATTCACCAACGATCGACTATTTTCAAGCATATATCTTTTCTAAAGAAGACGCTTTGTGATATTTAGGAATGAGAATTCTATAACCAGTGATCAAAATTCACTGACGTCATTGCCCTACAGTTGGACAAAAGTTCAGGGCCTTTTACTTTCCTTTCAAAGGATGTTGTAATTCCATACCACTGTGATCAAAGTAGTTTACTATTTTCCATTACACATAGCAGGTCCTTCAAATAATGCTTTTTGAATCGGTCAAAGAATGTTGATCCGAGATTGCCGTCTACGATGGTTGGATATCGTTCAACCACGGGGGGAACCAATACTCTCGTATTTACCCACCTGAACAACAAACAGGAAGACCAAAGAACCGTCATTTAGATCTGTAAAGATTCAGAGTGCCAGTATCTTCAAGGCTGTATGTACATTTCTGATAGTCAGCTGTCCTTCAGGTCGACAATATACTCCAGCAGCACCAGCCTGTCGTGTCTGCGTTTCACAACCTACCAGGGACATTCGACCATGCACTTTCGTCTCTAGGTTGTAACCACGTAATAAAACTAAGGCATTACGTTTATCGATAGCAAAACTTATATTTCTTTGCAACTTCTCTTTCACATTTAACATGTGCTGCTATCTTCTTTAAGTAATAATCGTGATTGTATTTCAAGTGGCGAGGTGTTGTGTGTAAGTGAGTTTTATTTTTTAGCAATATTCCAGCAATATCACGGCGGGGGGCCACCCAAAATGGGCTTCACACATTGTACCCATGTGGGGAATCGAACCCGGGTCTTCGGCGTGACGAGCGAACGTTTTAACCGCTAAGGTATCTCAAACATCGCTTATATTATAAGTGTTGCTAAAGTTCAAAGTGCAGAAAACCGTCGGCTTCTATACAGAATGCGGCTCTTTGTAGGTTTTCGTAGTGTTACATATGTTTGATATATGTTGATTCTGGGTTACATATGAATTATTTAACAACTGATATAATTGGAATCACTTTCTTCGTAAAGTATCCGCCGCTTTCGGCTGAGCTAGTTCACACCTATCACAGGGGTACACAATGTACTACCAGTCGTCACACTTCCATTTTGCGGAACCAAGGTGGCTGAGTGTGTTAGATCGCAGACTGTTTGTGCTGGTGATTTCGTGGCTCACTCTGTACGTGTGGTTTGGAAACCCCCGTGGGTTCAACCCAAAAAGTACCGGAATTTGTACTTTACTAAGAAAGTAAAACGATTGTTACATCTGACCACTTTATAAATGACATTTTTTTGTTTAAATAAATTATTTGTATCTGTTTATCATAGTTGACCGTCAGTCTCCCCTCGTGTGCCATGGACATAAAAACGATTTGACATCATTTGGATTTGGGTCTAGAATTTATCTAAAATCTTTTATTTCTCAATACCTGTTATTTTATTCCTATGATCTTGTGGATTGAATTCAATTCAGATGCTATGGACCTGTAGCCTCTTATTTGACAACCAGTTGCGGCCATGGTATTATCAATATCTGATGGTGTTTCGTAAACAAAGAAAACTTGTCTTCGAAGAAACGGCTTATGGTTATGGAAATGGTTTCGTCGTTTTTGTGTACACACCGTGCTGAAGGTTTGAACGCAGCACACGGCGGTGGGTGGCCTAATGGTTAAGGTGTTCGGGCTGTCACATGGCACAGTGTGTGAACATCATTAAGTGTGTCATCTGCAGTACTTATTTAATTATTGCTAAAGGGCCTGTAAACTCCAACTCACACAATGCACAAAACAACTTATTTATGCAGCATCATGTTCCATTTCCACAAGTATGTCACAGATTAAATTGGCAGATAAACCGCTCACGTGAACGCGTCCTGAATAGCAATGTGGCATCATCACAGATGTGTAGACATGAAACAGTAGGTAATCCAGTCAATTCTCTTAAGCATAACGGCATGGATGGTAATTGGGAATCACGCCAGTGAGACACAGGACATAGCTGAAACCTTTAACTTGGCAGGGCAATCTGGAAGGATTGATATGCAACATGAATATCTCAAACACAGAAGAAGAAGAAGAAGAAGAAGAAGAAAAAATATTTTCGTGTCACACACTGTAAAACAATGACAATAAAAATACACAAATAGAACGTAAAGTGTCCGGCCAATATGGCCTATGAGACACGCAGGGCGCCCCATACATATAAATAAAAATGGAGAATATCACAGTTCATATATATACATAAAATGGAAGTTATCACAACTGCAAGATCTAAAGTTAGGGGGAGAACATCCTGATACTAAGAAGAAATAAAATGTACGCTGAACTAGGTTGGTAGAGACGAAAGACACAGTTGTCTTCGCTGATACATGTGATAAAGTAGCGCCTAGGGGACTAACAAACTTATCATTCCGCATAAAGAACACAGTCTAGTCGATGTCCAGCGGTCATCTGTATGAAGTTCGGAGTTGATTGGGAAGCTAAACACAAATAGTTGCTCAAGCCCTCCCTTCCCCGCTCGCACAGTGGTCGCGCACGTCATGCACACTTACCCAAACACAGACAAACGCTCATACACACGCGCACACTCCACCTAAAAACGTGCGCACGCACACTCGCTTCCACCAACACAGACACGCGCGCACACACACATCACAGCTTGCCAGTCTCGTAGAAACAAGCCCACAACAGCCCGACCTGGACACCCCCTCCATATACCGACCTGGACCCCTCCATATACCGTCTCCTCGGACACTATACCAGCCCGACCTGGACACCCCTCCATATACCGTCTCCTCGAACACTATACCAGCCCGACCTGGACACCCCTCCATATACCGTCTCCTCGGACACTATACCAGCCCGACCTGGACACCCCTCCATATACCGTCTCCTCGGACACTATACCAGCACAACGTCACATATCTATTGCAGGTTCGCGAGCAGAACGTATGTCGGCCTCATAGTAGGGACAGTTTTCATAATACAGGTCTTTTAACACTAAGTAGTAAGTGGAAAATGCATAACATTTAAAATGCCAGGTCGCGTAAACGTCTCCCTCACACCAGTGTTGCAATAATGTCATGACGACATAACATCGTCGTGTTCTATTCACTGTGCAGGGTGCACCTTGACTTGCTACAGCCATTGGTTCCAGCCAGCATGTTGTCATCTGCACATGTGCCCGGGAACACCACGTGATCAGAGATAGCTCCAGGCTGGGTATATAAGCTGCAGGCGAGCACAGTGGCCCCAGTCTACTCTTTGCTTAGCTGCGTCAGTGTGCGTACGGGCAGGAAGACGGGAACGTCAAATCTTCATCTACATTCAGATTCCAGTCGAGAACTAATTTGACACCATGCAGAGTCAAGTACGTCAGAACTTCCACGTCAACAGCGAGGCGGGCGTCAACAAACATGTCAACGTCCTGCTGAACTGTAGCTATGTCTACCAATCCATGGTGAGTGTCACGTCTATCTCTGTCTACCATTTTATGGAGAGCGTCACACCTATGTCTATCATTCTGGGTGTCACGCCTATAGCCATGTCTACCATTCCCTGGTCAGTGTCACGCCTATGTCTACCATTCCCTGGTCAGTGTCACGCCTATGTCTACCATTCCCTGGTCAGTGTCACGCCTGTGTCTACCATTCCCTGGTCAGTGTCACGCCTATGTCTACCATTCCCTGGTCAGTGTCACGCCTATGTCTACCATTCCCTGGTCAGTGTCACGCCTATGTCTATCATTCCCTGGTCAGTGTCACGCCTATGTCTACCATTCCCTGGTCAGTGTCACGCCTATTCCCCGGTCTGCCATTCCTGGTCAGTGTCACGCCTATGTCTACCATTCCCTGGTCAGTGTCACGCCTATGTCTACCATTCCCCTATGTCTACCATTCCTGGTCAGTGTCACGCCTATGTCTACCATTCCCTGGTCAGTGTCACGCCTGTGTCTACCATTCCCTGGTCAGTGTCACGCCTGTGTCTACCATTCCCTGGTCAGTGTCACGCCTATGTCTACCATTCCCTGGTCAGTGTCACGCCTGTGTCTATCATTCCCTGGTCAGTGTCACGCCTATGTCTACCATTCCCTGGTCAGTGTCACGCCTGTGTCTACCATTCCCTGGTCAGTCAGTCATGTCTACCATTCACCTTCATACCTATCTATCATTCCCTGGTCAGTGTCACGCCTATGTCTATCATTCCCTGGTCAGTGGTCACGCCTGTGTCTACCATTCCCTGGTCAGTGTCGCCTATGTCTATCATTCCCTGGTCAGTGTCACGCCTATGTCTACCATTCCTGGTCAGTGTCATTCCCTGGTCAGCCTGTGTCTACCATTCCTGGTCAGTCACGCCTTTGTCTATCATTCCCTGGTCAGTGTCGCCTATGTCTACCATTCCTGGTCAGTGTCACGCCTGTGTCTACCATTCCCTGGTCAGTGTCATATGTCTATCATTCCCTGGTCAGTGTCACGCCTACTCATTCCTGGTCAGTGTTGCGCCTATGTGTCTTCTGCCTATAGCTATGTCTACCACTCCATGGTGAGTTTCTATCATAGTCTCCCATCACGATATTACTCCCGCCCCATCTCATCAGTGTCCCCCTTGGCCAGACCCCACCCGACATGTACAGAAGCATCCCTTTCCAAGTCCCCATGCTTGGTCGTAGTGCACTCGTCCCCGTGTGGACTGGTGCGAGATGACCCGCAATGCATCGTCGACATTATGCTGGGTAAAATTTGGTGTAACCTGATAGCCAATACAACACAGCTACCTTCACAGCGTTCAGACAGACAACCCCTCCACCTCCCTCAAGCAGTGATTGTTGGGTATAGGTATGACTGTAACACTGGCTGTATGTTCTATATCATGACAGCTACCAGTCGCATGTAATACGCGTGTGGGATGTATAGCATGTGATACTATTCCACTATACAGATGAAGATAGACATACACAAAGTCTCTCAAAATGTTCAATTCTTATAGAACCGAATAACATTTAAAATGTATATGGTGACTGTATTTGTTCATAGGAAATGCAGATCCTGGGGAAATCAAGACTTGCTTTATGTAGAGCTTTTGTGTTGCAGAAAGGGGTGGGTGGAAGGGGGGATAATGTGGTTCAGGGACGGAGGACTAAGATGAAGAATCACGGAAGATACACTACTTAATACTCACGTTGTAATATATGCAGTTGGCTTCTGTGGCTGAAAAAGCAAAGTACAACTTGAGGGCATGATGATAAGACTAAATGGTGTTGTTCTCCATGTGTGTCCTGTATCCGCTTATGCCGGGTCTCGTCTCCTGTCTGCAGGCCTGGTACTTTCACCGGGATGACGTGGCCCTGAAAGGATTCTTCGAGTTCCTCAAGGATGCCTCTTGCAAGAAGCGCGAGTTCGCCGACAAGCTGATGGAGTACCAGAACAAGAGAGGTGGCCGCATCGTGTTGCAGGACATCCAGGTAAGCCTCGACACTGGGCGACAGAACATCCCACTTAACATGGGACAGGTGCACTAAACCAGCAGTTAACGTCAATTCAATTCACGGGGGAGTGGGGCTACCGATAGTCCAGTTAGTATTGAGGTCGGGATACAAGACATCCAAGTAGCTCATGGGCGGATCCAGGAATTTTGAAAAGGGGGTGGGGGTTGGGGGGTTCAGGGAGTTCGAACCCCCTGAACCCTCCCATGGCTCCGCCAACGCAAAAAAAAATCTTCAATGTGATCTTAAGTCTTTTTCAAGGGGAGGTTCGAAATACACACACACACACACACACGCGCACACACACACACACACACACACACACACACACACACACACACACACACACACACACACACACACACACACTCACACACACTCACACACACTCACACACACACTCTCGCAGTTAGCCTCTGCTGTAGGCTACAGAAAACATTGTTGTTGCGACGGTTGCAGTGAATGATAACATGTGACCTAGTTTCACAGTCAAGTGCAACACTGTAACGCAGGACAATTATGAAGTATACAGAACTACTTTCATTCTCCTACAGTGACGTCCCTGTAGTAGTACTACCAAGATGTGTAGGAAAGACATTCATTCATGGACACATTTAATATTTCTGGGAACTTAGTAACCATCAGAAGAAGAATGTCATTACACATCTAATGATGTATTCCTGCCGAATCGCCATTTGATTAGTACAGTGCATTAGGTATTATCGCAAAAGCGTATCTAAACAGAATCCAGTCAGATTGAATCGTTTTACCTGTATGTGATGTCGCTGTAGTCGGATACATGTGAACGTGTTGCTACAGAGGCCGCGCCAGGATGAGTGGGGAACGGGCCTGGACGTGATGCAGTCTGCCCTGGCCCTGGAGAAGAGCGTCAACCAGGAGTTCCTTGACCTGCACAAGATCGCCGACTCCAACACTGACCCACAGGTGCGTACAGTCACAAACGGGAGGACAGGTAGGGCGGGAGGCATGGTACAATAAGAAAAGATGACGTTAAAATGTCAAAGTCAATACAGTGAGAATGGTTACGTCAAATACCGTAGGGGTGGAGGAGATGACGTTAAAATGTCAAAGTCAATACAGTGAGAATGGTTACGTCAAATACCGTAGGGGTGGAGGAGATGACGTTAAAATGTCAAAGTCAATACAGTGAGAATGGTTACGTCAAATACCGTAGGGGTGGAGGAGATGACGTTAAAATGTCAAAGTCAATACAGTGAGAATGGTTACGTTTAAGCTCAGACACCAAACTGTCGGGGAGTGCGTGTTGGCCATAAGGGGGTCAGATCGAGAAGGGACCAAATCTTCTTTCCATGAATGAATTGTCATTCCTGCCACAAATCAACAACGTCTCTGTCCTCTTACTGCTACAGATGATGGACTTCCTGGAAAGTGAGTTTCTGGGAGAAGAGGTGGAGATGATCAAGAAGCTCTCCGATCACGTGACCAACCTGAAGCGGGTTGGACCAGGTCTCGGAGAGTACCAGTTCGACCACGAGACCCTCAGTTAATCTGGTTCTCGGCCTCCCGGTTACCATGGTAACAGATGCTAACGACCGACAACGCATACCGCTTATCTCCAGTACTTTCTTGTAAGAACCCAAATCTTGTAACAGGCAGCCTGCATACACGGGCAACTGACATGAATTCCAAAATGAGATGAAACAATGTTTATACGTGTCCTATCTTTTATATATTTTATTTGTTGAATTTTGTTAATTTTCCTCATTATTAACGCCTGGAAAACAACATCTGCAATAAACTCAAGCATGCAAATGGACGTGTTCATCTTCTGTATACATTCTCAGTGATAGAGTATCATGTGTAAGTATGAAATGACATCATGACACAGAAGGACTCGTCTGAAAGGAACAGTATTTGAATAATTAAGACCTGACGGTGGAAAATACCAGAGTGAGTTTAGTTTTACGCCGCACTCAGCAATCTTCCAGCTATATGGCGGCAGCCTGTAAATAATCGAGCCTGGACCAGACAATCCAGTGGTCAACAGCATGAGCATCGATTGACGCAAATGGGATACGATGACATGTGTCAACCAAGTCAGCGAGCCTGGCCACCCGATGCCGTTAGTCGCCTCTTACGACAAGCATGGGTTACTGAAGATCAATTCTAACCGGATCTTCACGGGTCCCAGAATGATGTTGGTCGAAGACGCCTGTCGCTCCAAAGTCAGCACTGTTTACTCAACGCTCTACATTAAACGCACTACTTTCTATATTCTATTGTCGACATTTTACATTCTGCTCTCTGGAGTCTACTCTCCACATTCTTCATTGTAATTTATAGGCTCTTCATTCTATTCTTATTATTGTACATTCTCCTAATCACACTCTTCATTCTAAGCTAAAGTACAAAAGAATCATGACTTACAAATATGGTAATATTTTGTAGCAAGAAATTAAAACCGTGCAGCATTTTAGCAATATAAAAATATTCTGACCAAATATTCCATGACCGTTTTGTTCAAATACTCCACAACTCGGACTACCTAGATTGTCGTGAAAATTTTAATTTGTACGTGTGGTGAGAGTATGATTACTACAAACCTGATAAACCAAAGAGAATAACCAGTGTAGCTAAAAGAGCAACAGAATAATTAATTAAGCGCACCGCAACGAAAGAGAGACTTCGTAGGTATGCTGTACGTGGGGGCAACAAAACAGTCATACCTGTGGGACCTCACCCTGTTCCAGACTAATCATCATCAGTCTTTTATTACGGCTCTAATATAATGGACAGACATGTGACTGTACCCGGAGGTCAAGGGTCATAACCCTCAGGAAACCATTACATCCGGTAATAGGTTCCTCAAGGTCACATCATCATCAGAGCCATGGTTAGGTCGCCGCGCCAGCAGAGTACAGTCAGGTGAGGTGAAATGGGTTTTACGTCGTGCTTGAGAATATTTCGCTCATGTGACGACGTGCATGCGTGTGTATGTGAATGTGCGGCTGCTTGTACTAGCCCAGACTTAAGCTGCTTTTATAGTGATAGCCCACTGAGATACCATGCCGCAGTGAAGCATGAATACCCCACTCAGACACATTATACTGACTCCGAGCCCACCAGTCCTTCTTGTACCCATTAATGCCGAGCGCCAGGCAGGGACCAACAAGTACCATATTTTAACGTCTTTTGGTATGACGCGGTAGGGGATCGAACCCGCGACCTTCCGCTCTCCGGGCGGACGCTCTAACCACTACACCATGGAGACGGTCATGAGTACAGTCAGGAGACGTTCACTCTGTGCATGCATCGGCAGCTACCAACCATTCCAGAGAACGTCACTGACAATATGTGACGTTATCCCCTGGCATACAGCACCTTTGTGCTGGCAACTCTCTACATTCTACATTTTGCATTCAGCGCTCTACGCTTTAAGCTTCACTGTCAAGATTCTGTGTTCAGATTGAAATATCGATTACAGGAGTAACATTATTACTCTCAGGTATGACATCGTTGTATACATCTCGGGGAGCTGAACGCCAGAGCAACTTCCACATGTAATGTGACACTGCATCTATGCGCGTCCATGCTTTGCGCTGCATTATAAGTGCCATATTAGTGTTATATCAATTATTACCAGACCAGGTAATCCTGGAGGCCTGTGGCAAACCAGAATACACTAAGATTATGAGCAACACTGATAGCATGAAACATCTACATCATCCTGTGTGTATTGATTTTAACGAATACAGGATATGTGAAATCATCCGCAGCCATGCATGCAATTCCCGCGTTGTGAAGATGCCCGCTGTGCCTCTGCTGGTGTTGGCCTGTGAAGCTGTAGTTAACAAATGTCAAACATATTAGTTATCTTATCAATCTGCATCAATCTGTGTTGAGACTTGTAATACTGATTTCTACTAACTCCCTGTCCCCTCCCCTTGACCTTGACCTCGGTGTCAGAAAGGAGAGTTGTCTCCCCTATTTAATGGTGCCAGCATTCGTCAGCGCCATGTTACATCACCTTCAGGTCGTTAGAAGGTCGTTAGAAAAATCGTCCACATTAGGGTCACACGTTCCAACACTACGTTGTTGGTGTACGAGTACCGTCATGTTCTGACTTGAACATTCGGCATTTGTGAAATCATCATAATCTATTGCCACAAGGCATGTTCCGTCACGTGGTCCTGACCAGCTACTCCGCATCAAAATCAGCGTCCCTTGATTTCACATAACGTTATCTGATGACACTTCATTGTCTAGCGTTATCAATCCGTTCATTGAAACTGCGAGGGGTTTGACCTCAGAAGCATGAAGTACAGTACATCAAATCTGTCAACATCTGTATCACCAGATATGAATGCTATTTTCATCCGCCATCTTGACATAAATGACCCATTACGTAAAATCTCATTATGTGCAACTTTGCAATTCCATGTGAATCATAAAACTTACACCCGTGACCTCGCTCATCGCGTAGGTTTTGTCACACACTGGTTTAACCTGTTTGTAGTCATCTATCAATGTAGAGATTAATTGTGCCTTATATAAGCTGTTATAGTCGTAAGAAGACTCAGTGTATTGAGCGCTCAGTTTCGGTGACTTGTTTGCGTAGCATCTTAACCCGACAGGGTGGGCGCTGCTCATGATATTGATCACTGGTTTGTCTGATCCATCTTATTTACAAAACGTCCCCGTATATCCTGAATCGTGAGTAGTGTTAAATTATAAACAACCAAATTAAAAGTTCTGCGAGTTCCTAATGCCAAGACATCTGCATGGTAACATGTGGCAGTTTCCCAGGTACACAACTAGGCCTAGTTTAGGTGCGCTCTGACAGATAGGTGTGCACCAGCACGTCCACGTCTTGGTGTGTGTGAATGTACATGTGCATGTGTTGACGTCCGTGCACGTCAGTGTGTGTATGGGCATGCACATCTTGGTGTGTGCACGAATAATCTTAATTAGCAGTTCCTAATAGTGTTGCGAGATGTGTACACAGGTATAAACTGCCGTAGATTGCAGCATTATATTTATTCTGCGATACACTTGATGACTTGCCACATTATATTTTGGATTATACTGTATATATTAATGACTGATGTAATAGACATCCACAGAACAACTAGTGACAGTATGTGAAAATATGCAAACATCTTCCAGCACACACAAGGATCAGTTCAACATGGAGTCCTGACAATGTCCCTTTGTTGTCAATAGCTATGCCAGCTGCTCCAGTCTGCAAGAAACGCTGTAAGTCATAGCAGTGACAGGTTGACAAGTGGACAAAGGACTATATTTCATGACGAAACACATTTAGAACATACAGATACTGACTGGGAGACGTTGCCACGTAGGGTAGATGCATGTTTACTTATTGTATGACACCACAGTCAACTCAATCAACTCAGTATACATACATTTATGTGTCTTTTGTTAACGCCAATAAGCTAGACGACCGCTAAATCTGTACCAGTGGTTGCTATTATGAGTGGTTGACAGTCATGACACCAACTCAGTCAACTCTATCAACTCAATCAACTCAGTCAACTCAGTCAGCTCACTCGATTCGTTTTGTCGATTAGGACAACGACTGTTTGGTGTGGTGGACAAAGCATCTGAGGACGGGCAGTCGGCTGGGCGATCCTGCCTGAATCAGACCAAAATAGATTAAACGGTTACCTGTTGCCACCTTGTCTACACTGGTCATTGAGGGGGTGAGACAGTGGACAGGTGGATCATCTCGGAGTCAGTATCCTGTGTCTGAGAGGGGTATATACGATATTTCAGTGGCCAGATACACATGCATCACACATAAAGATCGACACACACGCACGCGCGCGCACACACACACACACACACACACACACAAGACGATGTAATAAACAAAGCAACGTTTTATTAAATGACCGATAATTTAACGCCCGATTACCTTATAGATCTCATTCCACCTACAAATGCCGAATCCAGTCAGATTTACCTTAGAAACCAATCAAATAACTTTTCACCTGATAGTATCAAACTGTGGAACGAATATCCTAGCTCCGACTCGTTATCAAACTTTAAAAGAACGATCAAGATGAAAACCAAACCTTGTTCCGACTTCAATTACGGAAGTAGTCATACATTCCCAAATAATACATACCTGGCTACAACTCGGCTGCAGTGATCTAAACGCCCATATATTTGAAAGATCTCTGAGAATCAACGGAAGTAGTCAATATGATTGCTTTCAAATAATACATTCTTGGCCATGCTGAAATCTCTTGCTGAATTCCATGTTTTTCTATTATAAAGGTTTTACATTAGATTCTGTTTTTCCGGCAACAAATGTATTACAAAGAAAACAAAATTAGACATCCTACATTCTGTCTACTGTTTCATCTCATTAACAGATTGGATATATTTTGATAAGCGTAATAAAAACTACACATTACACGTATCAACTGTCGCCATACTTAGGTATTCGTGTTTCGATATGCAACTGGAAACTACTCTGTGTACATATGTATGTTCTACACTCCGTAGTATCTGACCACATTAGCTGTAACAGCTTCTGCACCAATCCCTTTTCACTCAGTAAATACAAGTGTGAGTAAATCAGAGCGAGGGGGTAGGGGGAGGATAATTCCAGATAATTTCACTATTAAGGCAATGTGCATGTGTCCTTATTATATTGCAAGTCGCTGTATAAGTGAAATTATCTTGTACGTCACGTTAAAACACTTGTACCCGTCCCTCACCGACAGTCTGATATTAATACCGTTAATGGTAGAGTGTAAGAGGCCTACCTGACTGGTGATGACTCA